TACAATAGGATTACATGCATGCAAGGTCAAAAAAACGCTTTCGTTTTCTCAAAATATGCATTTAATATCACCTCATTTTCCAGCGATTCTCAAACGATTCGTTCGAAGCAGTTCTAAGATTCAGTCTCTCTAAACCCCTCCTTTCCGTGAGCCTGCTCTGCTCTGATTGGTCAGATGGTCCAGTCTGTTGTGATTGGTCTACGGCGTACAGCGCGTTTTGGAAACGATACGCCTATTTCAATAGTTCTGTATTTTGAACGCTCGATAGAAAATATAAACATCTATTATATTCAAAAAGCCTGACGACATCCCAGCTTACCCTGTCTTCAACTCTTTAGGACGGGCCCTCAGGTGTGTGACAAGAGAAATAGTTGCCTGTGTTTAGCACATTTCGCAAAAATCCTTCTCGTAAAACATTACATTTTGGTGTGCTCTATATCGCTCACTTATTTTTCAGGTATCACACTGGCTCTCTGGCATTTGGTTCCCTCATTCTTGCCATCGTTCAGGTCATCAGGGTCATATTGGAGTATCTGGATCAGAAGCTGAAAGGTCTCACTACTTCAGTGTTTTCATTCTTCTTCAGTAGATGTGCCTTTGGAAAATATTTAGTACCCCTTCACTTTTAACTTTTATACACTGGACTTATTCAAGAAATAGACCAATATTTCATATACATTCAGTCATCTTTCTTACCTTGATGTTGATCACAACCAGTATGATTGATAAAACAACAATAAAACAATGCTGAAAAATGTATTGTGATTGGTTATGAAAAAGCAAGAGCTAATGAGGTTGGGCATCAGTTTTTTTCTTTTTAGTGCTTGCCAAGCCACTAGTCAATTTATGGTGTTTTGTTCAGAAAAGAGCAACGTGGAAAATCAAATTTTGTGTTTCACTTGATGAAAGTCAGTCATACAGGTTTGGACATGACACCATTTTCATTTTTGAGTAAATTATTTTTTAAATGCCATAAAGTCAGGAAGAAAATCTATCAAACACAAAGAGAATCATAGAATCGTAGAAAATGTAGAAAGAATCAGGCATCATATCAGCTCAGATGCACCCCGTTTCTTTTCATTATTTTAAAATGTCTTTTGAACTTGATTCTGTTCCACTTTTGGCAAATAATACATGCTGACTGACAACGAGAAATGAATAATGAAATGATAACGGAATACTTCATCCTTTGCATTCTGTCTGTTATATGCATTTGAATCTTGATTTACTTCCTCCAGGTGCCCAGAATAAATGTGCAAAATTCCTGCTCAGCTGCCTAAAGTGCTGCTTCTGGTGTCTGGAGAAATGCATCAAGTTTTTGAACAGAAATGCCTATATTATGGTACATTTTCATTTCCCTCTTGATAATGTTTTGACCTTCTGTGGATTGTTGCTGGCTAGGGAGCATCATTAGTGTGTGTTTAGTGTTGTAGGGCTCAAAAACATAATTGCTGAAACTTATTGAGGCATATTCTCTTTTCAGGTGGCAATATATGGTAAAAATTTCTGTACGTCTGCCAAGGATGCCTTCTTCCTCCTGATGAGGAACATTGTCCGGTGAGTGTTAAACTTAAAGGGATAGTTCACCCAAAAATGAAAATTTGATGTTTATCTGCTTACCCCCAGGGCATCCAAGATGTAGGTGACTTTGTTTCTTCAATAGAACACAAACGAAGATTTTTAACTCAAACCGTTGCAGTCTGTCAATCATATAATGGAAGTGAATGGGAATCACGGCTTTGAGAGTCAAAAAAACATACACAAACAAAACCAAATTAAACCCTGCGGCTCGTGACGATATATTGATGTGTAAAGACACGAAACGATCGGTCTGTGCAAGAAACTGAACAGTATTTATATCGTTTTTTACCTCTGATTCACCGCAATGTCCGAACTGTTCTGAGCGCGTTCTCGACAGCCGGCGCATGACGCGTCTTCTTCTTCTTGCTTCACGGCGGATCGCAGACTTATAAGTGCATTACTGCCACCTATCTCTCAAATGGACCATTGACACTCCTAATTGAGATTGTAGATAGAGTGTCAATGGTCCATTTGAGAGATAGGTGGCAGTAAT